TTAAAGTTCCGGAAAAATCATGTAGGATGGAATTGTTCCCCTCTAAGAGTTCTAAAAAAAAGGCCGCGACAGCATATGTTTATCTTTTAAGGTCGACTCAGTATAACCTTTTTTATGGTAATGTAAGATTTTTTCGTGACCAGTTGCCATTAGAACAAATCACTCGACTGCGTGTCGTGATTTATTCATGTCAATTGATCTCGAAAAAATCTCCTTAATTGCCAACATCTCGTACCAAAATGAAATTTATCCGAGTAAATTTGAAGCACTTATGATATAATTGTCGATTACTTTAGAACAAACTAAACTAAACTAAACTAAACTAAACTAGACTAAAAGAAATTTTTCCAGAGTAAATTTGGATCGCGAATGGTATATGTTGCGATTATGCAATGATTAGAGCACACAACAGGTCACAGAAAACCAAATTTATTTAACTTTCTATGCGTCTAGAGCTTGCATTGCTAAATTGGTCAGACATTATTTTCAATCTTTTCGGAAAAAAATCCAATTAGCCAATAACACGTGACGTCACACTGTGGCGGGAACTCAGCGTTTGACAAGCGCCGTGAAAAAAAAGTGTGGGTATTTATCTAGAAAATAAACACGTGAATAGCTTCTTTCATATCTTTTCTGTGTATCAGGGTGCTTTTTTGGCGATTTGTGTTTAGAAATACATAATAAAAATAAAAATACAGAATGCTGTTTTGGTCTGAATTCCTCGTCACCCAAAATACATCCGTGTGTTTTAAGCGGGAAATCGGAAATTAATAATTTCGTTTGAGGTTAATGTGACGGGTTTAAGTGAAGGTGTGTGATTTGTTTTTAAAGTATGGATAATTTAAGTGATTATGCACGATGTCTTTCCGTCGAAGAGAAAAACAGATATGTACAAAAGTTAAACAATTTAAACGGCGTAAATCCTTATACAATGACTGCAAGTGATTTTAATTTGTGTTTAGACGATGTCCCTACCATAACAATGAATACTATTCTAAACTTTTTTATTTTTGGAGTAAGTAAAATAACCCACAATGAAATTCGTGCCCTCAAAAGTCTAGAGGCATTTATTCAGTTTTCTCTTTTTTAAACGACTGAGTCTTTCAACATTACAAGTATTATAAGTGGATTTATTTTGGTATGCTAAATTTTGTGATGGAACATAATCAGGATGGTCCACATCCGACAAATCTGCAGGTTTACCTAAAAGAGCACCAATGTAGTAATTTGTTAGAAACTGTAAATCTAATAGGTAGGTACTGCACCTAAAATAAAATGATCCGAACAAACATAGGAATACTTTACTTTGGCTTCGTTAAATCCACTCGTTTCAAGGCTTTTAACCAAAGCTTCCGCCTTTTTTCCCCATCCTGTATATATTTACGTTTATTGTTGCTAATTGCTGGGAAAGGAAAATAAAATTTGTCTGCATTTCTGGTGCTTCGATTCGCGCAACCCACAACAGCACAAAATTTAGGCATTTTCTCCTAAAATACAAAATATTATAATATTAAGATGCTAGTGTATTTAAAAAACATTGATGTACATTAACAAAGAATTGATTTACAAAACAAATAGTATAAGATGCAGCGAAGTTAACCTGTACATCACATTGGAAAACATTATTTTTTAAGCATATTCAAACGTTATGGTGCGTTTTACAGATATCTACACAATCTATAAACTGTAACAAACTTACCAAACTATAAAAACACAGTTGACACACTCTCAAATTTAAATGAATTCCGAAAATATTAGCATTGACTCTTATGAGAAAACCGGCTAGTTGTCAAACGCTGCCATCTTGATGACCTCGGATGACGTCAGTGTATTTGGCTAATACGTCTGCCTTCGTTAACTGTGCGGTTACGGTTTTGAATTAGATTCAAGGAAAATTCGATTTATGGAGCTACTCGCGAAATAATCACTTAAGTTCAAAATTTTCACTAAAGTTCCGTTTATTCAGTGAGATATTTCGTTACTATGGAAATTACATTGTTGCTTTAACTGTAGCAACAACATTAAGAATTGGATAATCTTTATATTCCGGGTGTCTGGAAAATGGCGGATTAACTCTCCGCTACGCTCTTAACAATCAATTATTGGTGAGTCTGGAAAAAATAGTAAAAAAATCCTTCTCACATTTTGATGTTAAAATTGGTTCTTTTGCTACGGTTAACAATTAAACAACACATTCATTATCACAATAACTAGTAATAAAACTTTTAGTTAGTATTTCTCTCGCCCATGAAAATATTTAGTTACCATTTCAGTTAGAATGCACAAAGATATGGCGGTTTTGTTTTTGTAATAATTTCAAAAAATTCCATTTGACAACAATGTTGGCTTATATAAAGCGAAGGTGGATTTCAGTCACCATCGTTATACCAAGAAACAAGAAATTAGGCCGTAGGTATTCACGTATTAGGTGTGCGCAGTGTTGCCAATTGCACTTTTATAAAATTACATTTTTTTCGTAATCTACATCATAAAGAATGTTTTTATTTTTTGGGACTCCCGAAACCCCCGTATACAACGTACTGAAGAGTTAATCCGCCATTTTCCAGACACGCGGTATAAAAGGCAATGCCCAGCCCAAACCGCTAATGATAGAAAGTTGAAATTTGGAGAGAATGTTCATTTTATACTGTAGGCATCGTTTAAGAAGGGATTTCTCGAAATTCATCCCTTAAGGGGGTTAAAAAGGGGTGATAAATTTTGTATAGAACCAATATGTCTATTGTAAATTTACATCGTTACGTGAAACCTAATAAATTTTAATTCTCTTTAAAACAAATAAGGAAATACGTATTTAAGCATTTTCGGAGATTCGACTCCTAAGGGGGAGAAAAGTGGTGTCAAATTATGGGCGGCAAAGTTTGTATAGGAACAATACTATAAATTGAAATTTTTACGTGAAACTTGCTATTAATGGTCTTCAACACAAATAATGAAACCTTCTGTAAGCATTTTCTAAAATTCAACCCCTAAGGGGGTGAAATGTGGAAGCTAAGTTTGTATGGGAAAATATTTCTATTCTACAAGTATATTAAAATTTTTACGTGAAACCTGGCATTAATGCTCTTCAACACAAATGATGCAACCCACATTTAAGCATTTTCTAAAATTCAACCACTAAGGGGGCGAAACGTGAAGGCTAAATTTGTATGGGAGAATATTTCTATTGAATATTTAAATTTTTACGTGAAACTTAGTATTAATACTCTTCAATACAAAAAATGAAACACGTATTTAAGCATTTTCCGAGATTCAACCCCTAATGGGGTGAAAACTACTGGCTAAATTTGTATTGTAAATTTAAATTTTAACGTGAAACTTGGTTTTAATGGTTTTCAACACAAATAACGAAACACGTATTTAAGCATTTTTACTGGATTTAACCCCTAAGGGCTTGAAAAATGTTGCCTAAATGTGTATAGGAGTAATATTTCTATTTTTAATTTAAATTTTTATGTAAAACTTGGTATTAATGCTTTTCAATACAAATAATTAAACACATATTTAAGCATTTTTTGAGATTCAACCCCTAAGGGGGCGAAAGTGGTGGCTATATTTGTGTGGGAAAAATATTTGTATTGTAAATTTAAATTTTTACGTGAAACTTGGTATTAATGCTCTTCAACACAAAAAATGAAGCACGTATTTAAGTATTTTCGTAGATTCAACCCCAAAGGGGATGAAAAGTGGTGACGAAGTTTGTATGGGAAAATATTTCTACTGTAAATTTTTACATGGAACTTGGATTAATACCCTTCAACGCAAATAATGAAATGCGGATTTCAAATTTTTTTGGATATTTTCGATTGGATTTATTCGGCAAAATTTTGAGCTGACGTCATCAACTTTTTGGAAGGGACAAGCAATATTTTGATTAAAAATTTATTATACCTATCATAACTTTTAAATTACATATGTAGGACTCCGTTATTTCGTACAATTTAAAACCCATTTATTAAGTACAGTTTTGAAGTGACGTCATCACATAATTGGTGGGGACGATGAGACAAACCTTAACTATCGTTTTACCATCTACAGGATATTCCTTAAAAAAATACAAAATTTGACAACAATCGGCTGAGTGCTTTCGGAGATCATCTGCCTAATAAAAATTGGGACGGCACACAGACGGACCGACAGACGGACAGACAGGCGGACAGACAGGTACTCTAGGAGTCATGGAAAGCCAAGAAAACGTAAAAGTAAAGAGTCGGCCGACGATCGATTACAAGTAAAAGGCCGTCCGTAGGGTACAAACCCAAGAAATCAAATACATATATATATATATGTATATTTGCAAAAGATGAAATTGGAAGTTTTCTGAAAGAAGCTGATGATAAGCAGTTTTTAAGTTTTAAGCATACCATATTTTACTAAGGTAAAATATGGTATGCTTAAAATTATTATCTCTTCAAATTATTTTAAGTTTTAAGCATACCATATTTTACTAAGGTAAAATATGGTATGCTTAAAATTATTATCTCTTCAAATTATTTTAATTCTTATTTTTCCCAGGTTAATAAGTGGCATCGCTAGAGCTTGCAAAAAAATTAGCTCATTAACTTGCTCCTGTAACCCTAATACTTAAGTGTTTCATTGTTTTTACTTAAATAAAATGTTCCATCTCTATATTTATAATTTTATTCTGGAAGATCAAAATGAGTTGTGTAATGAATTTCATTCAATGTAGTCTACAATTCCTCAATTTCCTTGAAATGTATAACTCTCTTGCTGTTTTATATACAGTTGCCGCCAAAAAATTTCAGACGTCAATGTCATTTAGTCGCCAGATAGTGTAAAGCAACCTTTAGATGTTTAGGTATTTTGAAAGTTTGACATTCCGAAATAATGACAATAAAGCATAGACTACATTAAAATTTTTGACATGACAGAAAAGTGATGTTTGAAATTTTTTGTCGGAAACTGTATATACTTCAAGTAACGGAACTGATAGATTCAAAGTTTTTTCTATTCTTTTACAGATGGTATCTACTTTCCGGAATGGAGAGTAATTTAATGATTTCTGGACCAAGAATTAGACAGTTGGCCTCCGTGCTTGCAATTGAAGCTGTTACACCAGATGATGGCAAGTTTTTAATGTTTTTGTACGAAATCTGTTAGAAGGAATCGCTACTATTGTTTCTTTTTGATCCGAGATTTTCAGGAAAGGTAATAGGTATACACTGGCCGGCAAAAAGAATAGGTTACGCTGAAATATTTCGTAAAACCACTTTACAAAATTTAACTAGTGACTTTTATTTTCTTAAACAACCAATCATTGTTAAACCATGGTGTACAAATTAGCTGAAAAAAAGCTACAAGTTAGATATAAGTCGGCCCTCCGAGTGAACTGCCCCTCAATAAACTTTTCAAACTTCCCAAGCTAAAAATTAGTCACGCCATTGCGAATAACCACTACTCAGTGGCGTCGTCATCCTGGTTCTTTCTACTTTTTAACGGTATTCACTGTTTGTATTTTTTGTTACTCGTGATGTATTGATTGATTGAGCGTCTTCAGTGCCAGATAGGAGACTGGCACGGCAGCATCTCGTTCCTGGTGGTCAACGATCTCAGAGACACAGCAATCCTGGGGTTCGACTTCCTCGAATCACAAAATGCTATTATCGACACTACCAGGAAATGCCTATACGTAGGGCAACAACAACGCACAGCGGTACACTTCAGTGCCGGGAAATCAAACCAGGCGCCGACAACACCGCTGACCCCGGCGGAAATCAACCATGGATTCGACGCAAAACACCTTCACAACCTTAACCGCCTCCTGACGGACTTTCCCAGCGTTTTTAACAACGACCACACCCCAGCCACGACGCTGTCCGCCCGGCATAAATAAGACTGAAAGCCAAACACCCTTTCGCCTGAAACCGTACCGCTACTCGGACTCCAAGAAGGCGATAATATACAAAGAATTGGAGGACATGCTAGAGAAAGGGATTATCGAGCTCTCCACGTCCGAATATGCTTCTCCCATCGTGATAATCAAAAAGAAAGACGGGAGCCCGAGATTCTGCATCGACTACAGGCGATTAAACGAGGCTACCGTCAACGAACCAACACCCATGCCAGTAATCCAAGAAACCCTGCGCGACCTCGGACAGGCCAAGGTCTTCTCGACCATCGACTTAGTGCAGGGGTACTGGCAAGTTCCAATGGAGGAAGAGGCGAAGAGACTCACGGCATTCGCAACGCCGGACGACGCGCTCTACTTGTTCCGGGTGATGCCGTTCGGCCTGAAAGGAGCACTCGCAACGTTCCAACGCCTCATGACCTAAGAAGTGTTGCCTGGATTCCTACGACGATTCGCCATGGTCTACCACGATGACGTCGTCGTGTACAGTCCCGACCACGACACCCACCTCGAGCACCTACGACAGGTGTTCGAACGACTGGCTATGCACGGGCTAAGCTGCGCCCCACACAAGTTCCACCTCGGAAAGACCGAGTTGGAGTACCTGGGGCACGTCATTGGCCCCGAAGGTAACCGATCCCAGGAACATCATCTGCGACAGTTTGCGACAGCCGGAGCCCCGAAGTCCCGCAAGGAGTTGCGCTAGTTCCTGGGCACCTGTAAATGGCTTCGCGAATACGTCAATAAGTTCGCAGAACTCGCAAGCCCCCTCACCGACCTCCTGAGCTCCAAGAGGAAATGGATTTGGGGACCAACCGAAACCGGAGCATTCGAAGCAATAAAAACAGCCCTGGCTAAACCTTTGACGCTGCAACGGCCCGACCCGGACAAAGAATTCATTCTACAAACCGACGCCAACCAGGAAGGGATGGCCGCAGTCCTACTCCAGGAAGTAGCAGGAACACGCAAGGTGATCTCATACGCCAGCTCACGCTTTAACGAGTGAGAGCGAAAATACCACAGCAACGAGCAGTTTAACTTCCGGCTGGAGCACTGCCCGGGGAAAGAAAACGAAATGCCAGACTTCCTCTCGCGGAACCCCGACGACGCACAAAACACAAACGATAGCCGTCCGGAAATCGACATCCTGCCGCCTACAATTACAGAGAACCCAGCGGAGATCCGAACCCTCGCCGACGAAGTCCGCGAAGCACAAAGGGGCAACGAGCCAACACAGCCGTCTGTCCAGGACCTCGACAGTTTCCAGCACAACGCCCCCACGCTCGACTGGCAACGCAGACTCGAGCGCACGTACGAGGTCCACGACGGCTACCTCCTGCGCAAGGACGACCACGCCGCCTACACACCCAAAGGCATACGAGGCAGGGTGCTGCGCGACTATCACGGCAGCATCCTCGCCGGGCACCCTGGAGCAGAAGAGACCGAGAGGTCAATACGGGCGAAGTTTTACTGGCCGAAGATGAAGCGGGACATACGATACTACGTACGCGGGTGCCCTATATGCACCTTTTACAAACGACACCCGAACTACCCAAGAGCTCCTCAACGACCAAGGCAACCGCGACGCCCCTTTGAAACTCTCACCCTCGACCTCATGGGCCCCTATCCGGAGACTCCCCAGGGGAATAGATACGTGGTGGTGATCACAGATCTGTACTCGAGATGGGTCGAGGCGTTTCCAGTACCCAACACGAGCACTTACCAACTAATCAACCTGATGGACCAACAGCTGTTCCCACGGTTCGGATATCCAATGTCGCTGATTACAGACAACGGATGCCAGTTTACGAGCCAAGCGTGGGCAGCCCCATGCCGGAGGTGGCGAAGAAATCTATGGATCACGGCCACCTATATCAACCCCGGGAAAATCCTACCGAAAGGCGAAATCAGGAAATAAAGAAAGCCATGCGGATACACCTGGACCACCGAAACGAAAACGAATGGGACCTAGTGATTCCCGGGACCCTTTACAACCTGAGACGAAGACAGAACCCCGCAACGGGCGTTTTTCCCAGCAAACTGCTGTATGGGGCAGATCTGCAGATGCCAGGAGAAAGGGATCGAGACGGCCCGGAACCGCCAGCCCAAGAGAGAGCAGACATCCACGCAGAAGCCCAACAACATCAGGAAAGGTACATAGAGCAGCGCCGCAAGCCAGCACCATCCGGCCCACCGCCGACATATGAAGACGGCGCCAGGGTGCTAATCCAGGCACCACCACAAAGGGCAAGGCCCTTCGCACAGAAATTCAGCAGCCCATACCGCATCATCCGAAGGATCGGAGAATCGGACCTCTACGAAGTGGACGTAGGAGGCAAGTCCGTGAAGTGCCATACGGACCGACTGCGACCCGCAACCACCAAACGAACCTACACTGGCCGACCACCGGACGACTAAAGACGTATAGGTAATTCATTTAAGAGTCCGACGTACGAGTGGGCAACCGTATGTCGCGAGCGGTGTCACCACCCCATAGTTAGTTCTAAGAATACAAAATGTAACCATATAAACACTAAAATAAAGAAGGGGCAGCCGCAGAACGGGACAGACTCACCGGCGTTCCGAAGGGTATGCACGACTCTTGGAGAGGGGGGCAATTGACACCAGGCAGGGGCCCTCCGACCGAGCCTTGCATACCCGATTTTCCAAACCTTTCAGTCTGCGGTCCACCTGCTTGTGGTCAAATATCAGCAAATTGCCGCAGACAAACCACTCTGAGTCAATCCACGGAATGGAGCTGTCACCATCAAGAACACAACATTCTCTTCATCACCCCGTCACCACCACTTCCTCCACCAGAAGCTTCCCGGAGGCGACCCCGCCTCCTCCGTCACTTCGTCCCAGCCTTTTGGGGGTGACACATACAGGGTGCCGCATCCAAGTCTGGATATAGGGAATTAACATGGGAATCGGTTTTTATTTTATGATATCTCCCCAGATCACTTTAAAGCTATTATTGAGTGATGCATTTGTGGAGGTCGAAAAGGGCTATCGGCCAGTATTTTTTTCAAATCGTTGTATCGCGCTCATTCACTGTAAAAAGGTTTTAAAAATCGTATTTTGAAATTCGCGCCCGATCCGATTTGTCACGAAATGTTCCGTCGCACCGTCGAAGTTCGGCGATCGCGTCTTTGGAATATCCATGCAAAATTCAAATGTCAAAGTGAAATTAGAAATTATTCTCAGAAATCAACGAACAACTCAAACTGAATTATTTTATCCAGTGTGATGATTATTGTAGGACAAATTAAGCGGAATAAATGCACAAATTGATGCATTCATTCGTCATAGTGCGCGACCCCGTCAAACGAGCCATCTCGAACTACACTCAGACCGTATCCAAAAAGCCCGAGATGAAGACTTCGAGCAGCTGGTCTTCCTCAAAACCCCATCGGCAGGATTGTAACATGTCCTGTGAGCCCTCAAGCTAGGGATGTACTCGCGCTGCCTCACTCAGTAATCACTGAACGACTCAAATTGAATTATTTTATCCAATATGTCGATTATTGTAGGTCAATTTAAACGGAATACATGCACAAGCTGCACAGAATATTTTATTAGGTTATGTTGCTGGTGCTGGTCGAGTCTTTATTACTAAAATCTCATTAATAAGATTTACCATCAAAACAGCTGGCGCTTTTGAAGAGAACCTTTTAATGAACCATTTAGATAACTACAAATAACAAAACTTAACAATTGTTGACGAATGAAATAATGAAATATTGTACGAATCTGGAGAAGTATTGCACTATTTTCAAGAATTGCTCAAAAAGACTGCTCTCAGCAGCTGTACAGTAAGTAAGCCGATCTTCAAAACTTCTACGCGTGTTGATCAGCATTTGCGTTGCAATCTGAAGACAATATTTGTTGGACTGCTTGTTTCAGCGCGTCTCCGTTTGTATAGCTGGTATTGTTTGAATACAGATGGTCGTGAAGAAATCTCAAAAGAAAAAATTCCCAGGGATTTAGATCCCGTGAATGCATAGACCAATGGGGCGGTGCAAACTTTACATTCCAACATTGCGGGAAAATACTGGTTCAAATAAACAACATTTATGCGAGCTATATGGCTGGAGATTTGGTCCTGGATGTAAAAGATCTGCTGCAGATGCCGCACCCCTCGAGTCCCAGGAAGTATTTGCTGAGCTAGCATATTGTCCTACTTCTGAGCATTCAATCTAGATTCGATTAAAAGA